TAGTCTTAGATAATCAGCCATTTACGACTGTTGAAAATAAACACTTTCGACAAATGATAAAGCTGTTAAATCCAAATGCAACTATTCCTGTAGAGGATACGATTAGAAATGATATTATAAAAAGTTTCAAAGATGAAAGCATAAATATAAAATGCTTACTTCAAAGTGCTCCAGGAAAACTTTCATTTGCTATTGATGTGTGGACATCAGCAAATATTTATTCTTTTTTCGCCATCACAGTGTATTGGATTTCTAAAGACTGGAAGCTTCAAAGTATTTTATTAGATTTTATTAATCTTCACGGTCCTTATTCAGGAGAGAACTTGTGCGATGCATTTGTTAGTAGCTGTCGTGAATTTGGAATTTTACCAAAAATTTTTACGATTACAAGTGATAATGCTACGAACAATGTACTTTTATGCAACATCTGGAAAATATATGTTATAATGAGAATATTGCTTTTAATGCTGTTGAATCTTATTGTAGATGCATTGCTCATATCATAAACCTGGCTGTGCAAGATATTCTTAAACAATTCAAGGCTGGCAAAGCACAAACTGAAAATGCTATCTTTGATAATATGAACACACCCATAATGGCTGAAAATATAATTCTGAACCTTCGAAAACTTGTAGTTAAAATTAGATCATCACCGCAGCGTCGTGAACAATTTATGCGTCAAGTTAAAGCTGCTAGTCTTGAGAGTTGTAATCTTATATTGGATATTAAGACTAGGTGGAACTCCACTTACAAAATGCTTGTACAAGCGCTGGTGATGCATGATGCAATCGATGCAATTACACATTTAGATAAGGATCTTCAATCATTACAACTTGATATTCATGAATGGAATAAAATTAGAGAGGTTGTAACCATTTTAGAAATATTTGTACGAACAACCAAAATGATTGAATCAGCAAAATATCCAATGCTCGCTTCTATTATACCAATATATAATTATTTGATCGATGAACTCACAAAACATCGCAAATCCTAATTATTCTCATGAAATAATCACTGCAGTAAATGCAGGATTGATAAAGTTAGAATCATATTATTCAAGAACAAACAATATGGCTATTTATATTATCGCAACTGTTCTTGATCCAAGACTAAAATTGGATTATTACGAAGAAAATAATTGGAGCAAAGATTTTATCAATGGCATTAAAGCAACTATTCTTCAAATCTATAAAAATAATTATGAATCATCTTCCTACGAAGTTACCAATTATGATCAAGATAATATGGATAATGACAATGATTTGCTTTTAGATTATATTTATGGAAAGAAACAAAGAATTAATCAACAAAATGAAGTTGAGTTATATCTAGAAGCTCCTCGGGCAATGAGAAAACAAGATATTCTTCAATGGTGGGAAGTGCACGAAGCTAAATATCCCAATTTGACTAGGATGGCTAGAGATTATCTTGCGATTACTGCCACTAGCGTCCCAGTAGAGCGAGTATTTTCCGGAGGAACTGATTTAATTTCTGTTAAGAGATGCGGTCTTAGTGCAGACTCTATTCGTGCATGTATGTGTTTAAAGTCCTGGTGGACATAAAGCATTATTAAACTTTAAAATTTCATATTAATGTAATTATGAAATACTTTTAAAATAGCAATAATTAAGTTGCAAAGTCTTAGTATTAGCATTATATACAGAAAATAGAAATAATTAAATTGCAAATAATAGTATTGAGATATCGTCTTTCTATTAGTGTTATATAAATAAAAATAATAAAAGATTAAAATCTAGTCTTAGCATTAACGTTATATAAATTCTGTATAAATTAATTCTAACAAATTTAAAAACCCGAGTTTGTTCGAACAAATACGGGCTCAACCCCAAACCCGACCCGAATGACTCTTTAGGAGCACTACAATTGACAATTGATCTGTTTTATCATGTTTGGCTTCAGATGTATTATCTTTTGTCCATTGAGAACATTCTTCTAAATAAAGTTGTCGATTAGTGCAATCACGATTTATTGGATTTTCAATATCAAAGTGTACTTGATTTGTTGGTAAGTGATTATATCCTATTGGAAACAAACATTTAAACGTCGTTCTTTTATTTACTACTGAAGCTACAGTAATATCTCCACCATGACGTGTTACAAGTTCTTTAACGAGTGCAAGTCCTATTCCGGTACCTCCATGACTACGTGAACTTTGAGATTCTACGCGATAAAAACGCTGGAATAT